AGTTGTGGCTCAGTGGTAGGATTGAACCAGTGCCTCACATGTGCTTGCCTATAATCCCAAGAACTCAGGAGGCTGAGACAGGAGGATTCCAAGCTCAAGACTAGCCTAGGGGTGCTTAATCCTTAAGGAGCCACATCCTTAGCCCTTTATTTTGAAATAAGGTCTTGCTATTATTGCTTAGGGCCTCTCTAAGTGACTGAGGCTAGATTTGAACTTGTGATCCTCCTGCCTCAGCCTCCTGAATCGCTGGGATTACAGGTGTGCACCACTGCACCCAGGGACTTGTGATTTCAACTCTAAACTTTTTGTTTCATTTCTAAAATTTTAGCGGTCTTGTGTATATAGAATACTTATCAACAGATTATTCTGAGTAATCCTGCAAAATGAAAACTAGACATTTATTTTGTTGATTTTTCTTCTAAAAGAAGATAAGAGCTAAAATGATGAAAAAGGAATCCAGGTTCTTTTTACTCTGTTTTTTTTTTTATTTTATTTTTTAGTTGTAGGTGGACACACAGTATCTTTATTTTATTTTTATGTGGTGCTGAGGATAAAACCCAGTGCCTCACGTGTGCTAGGCAAGCATTCTACCACTGAGCTACAACCCCTGCCTTCTTTTTACTCTTAAGTAGTAATAACTGACTTCAATTTTTTTCTCCCTCAGTATTAGGGTTAGAACTCAGTGCCTTGCACATGCTGGGCAAGTATTCTACTATTGAGCTACATGCCTAGCCCTTCTTAAAATTTTTATTTTTATTTTGAGAAAGGATTGCTAAGTAGCTCAGAGTGGCTTCAAATTTACAATTCCTGTGCCTCAAGTCTCCCAAATAGCTGGTATTATAGCACCCTGCTAGATTTTTTTTATATATATATATTTTTAGTTGGACACAATACCTTTATTTTATTTATTTATTTTTATGTGGTGCTGAGGATCGAACACAGGGCCTTGCACGTGCTAGGCGAGTGCTCTACTTCTGAGCCACAACTCCAGAACCTAGATTTTAATTTTTCATGGAATTTGTGTATATATGCTTTGCAATGATAATATAGCACTGCTTTCACTTTGTTGGTATACCATTTGTAATTTAGCTGTTCCCTTCTTTTTTTTTTTTTTTTTAAAAAGAGAGTGAGAGAGGAGAGAGAGAGAGAGATAGAGAGAGAATTTTTTTTTTAATATTTATTTTTTAGTTCTCAGCGGACACAACATCTTTGTTGGTATGTGGTGCTGAGGATCAAACCCGGGCCGCACACATGCCAGGCGAGCGCACTACCGCTTGAGCCACATCCCCAGCCCAGCTGTTCCCTTCTTGAGACCTTTTTTTTAGGGGGGTGGGTGGGTACTGGCTATGGATCCCAGGGGTACTTAAACAGTGAGTCACATCACCAGACCTTTTTTATATTTTATTTAGAGACAGGGTCTTGCTGAGTTGCTTAGGGACTTGCTAAATTTCTGAGACTGGCTTTGAACTCATGATCCTCCTGCCTCAGCCTCCCAAGCCACTGGGATTATATGTGTGTACCACCATGCTCGGTTTCTTGAGAAATTTTTAACTTTCATTTTTTAAATCATTTTATGATACTTTAATGAAATTATTCATGCATAAACCCAAGAGTGAGATTACTAGGTTTACAAGTCTATGATTTGTTGGGCCCAGTGGCACCAGCCTGTAATCCCATTGACTGGGGAGCTGAGATAGGAACATCACAGGTTTTTAAATAAAAAACAAAAAGGGCTGGGGATGTGGGTCAGTGTTTAAATGCCCTTGGGTTGAATCCCCTGTACCAAAGAAAAAGAAAAAAGAGTGTATAATTTTGTGGTACATGCCTATAATCCCAGTGGCTTAATAATGTTTTTTGCCGGGTGCCAGGGTTTGAATTCAACCACTGAGCCACATCCGCAGTTCTATTTTGTATTTTATTTAGAGACAGAGTCTCACTGAGTTGCTTAGGGCCTTATGGTTGCTGAGGCTGGCTTTCATCCTCCTGCTTTAGCCTCCGGAGATGCTGGGATTACAGTCGTCTGCCTTGGTGCCTGGCAAGGGTGTATAGTTTTGGTACTGAAAATTGAACTCTGGGGCACTGTACCTTTCAGTTACACCCCTAGCCTTTTGTTGTTGTTGTTGTTGTTTGTTTTCCTTTGAGACAGGGAATGGCTATATGTATAGGGCCTTGTTAAATTGCTAAGGTTGACCTCCTGAGATGCTGGGATTACAGGTGTGCACCATCATTCCTAGCTCCAGGTTGCTTATTTTAAGCAGTTTGTATATTAAGATCAGTAATGAATTCCAATACTAGTTTTATAGCATTTTTTTTTGTGTGTGTGTGTGTGTGGGGGGGGGTACCAGGGATTGAACTCAGGGATATTCGACCACTGAGACACATCCTCAGCCCTTTTTATATTTTATTTAGAGACAGGGTCTCACCAAGTTGCTTACGGCTTAAGTTGTTGAGGCTGGCTTTGAACTTGGGTTCCTCCTGGCTCAACCTCCCATCTGTTGGATTACAGGCATGCGCCACCACACTTTGCCTTTTTGTTAATTTTAATAGGCCTGATGCAAAGGTGCAAGCCTATAATCCTAATGAGTAGGGAGGCTGAGGGAGGAGAATCACAAATTTAAGTCCAACTTAATGAAACCCTCTTTCAAAATAAAAAATAGAAAGGGCTCTGGGTTACCAAAAACAAACAACAATAACAACAACAACAAAACAGTAGTTTAAGATAACTTTTGAGTTTTGTTACCGATGTTTTTGTTTTTTGCAATAGGCTCTCATTATGTTGTCCAAATTGGCTTCCAATTTGTAATCCTCTTGCCTTAGCCTCCCAGATAGCTGGGATTATAGGTGTGTGCCACCTGTACAGTTAAGATGATAACTTTGATTTATAGCTCTCCTTCCACTATATATTTTATATTCTTTTTTTTTTTTAAAGAGAGAGTGAGAGGCAGTGAGAGAGAGGGAGAGAGAGAGAATTTTTTTACTATTTATTTTTTAGTATTTGGCGAACACAACATCTTTGTTTTTGTATGTGGTACTGAGGATCGAACCCGGGCCGCACGCATGCCAGACGAGCGCGCTACCGCTTGAGCCACATCCCCAGCCCCAATATTTTATATTCTTAAAAAATTTTATTTAGGAGGTTGAGACAGGAAGATCCCAAGTTTGAGGCTAGCCTTAGCAAATTAGTAAGGCCCTCAGCAACTTAGTGACCTGTCTCAAAATAAAAAATAAGACTGAGGATGTAGTTCAGTGGTAAAGTGCCCCTGGATTAAATCCTCAGTATTCCTCTCCAAATTAAAAAGAAAAAAAAATTAGTTATAGATGGACATAATATCTTTATTTTGTTCATTTACTTTTATGTGGTATTAAGGATCGAACCCAGTACCTCACATGTGAGAGGGGGGTGCTCTGCTACTGAGGCACAACCCCAGTCCCTCCCCCAAAATTGTTAAAAATTAATTTAAAACCAGTGGTTCTCATAAAAAAAGAAAAAGAAAAAGAAAGAAAATAAAGAAATTAGGAATTTGGGAGAAATATGGGAAGTTAAATTTGTCAAGTTATTCATAGTTTCCTTGTTTATTCATTTGAGTTTTCATCTCTTATAGTTGATTTCTTTCACCATCCAGCCATATTATGAGAGTTCCTTGGGGTTCCAAACTTGACAGTGTCACCATTGAATGAAAAGAAGTGGTACTTTGGGATGTTTCAGTTTGAGAGACTGAGTATAACTGGAGGCATATCATTCATTCTACTTTGAAATACTTCTTCGACTATGTAGGAAGATTAAAACTATAAAAGGAGTTTTCCTTCTGTCTGTTTCTTAATGCAGTAGAGGGTTCATGTATTCAGCTTCAGGAGCAAAATTTGATTATTAAAGATCTGTTGCCAGTTCCAACTACTCGGGAGGCTGAGGCAGGTGCATCCAGCTTGGGCAACAGCAATGCCTCCATTCAAAGAAAGTTTTTAAAAGGACAAAAAACAATTATTATTTTTTTTCCTGTGTTATATGACTATATTGATTCTGTTTGGTATTTATTTTTCTGAATTTTTATCCTAGGTGACATACTAATAGGTACTTTTTTTTTTTTAATTCAGTCTTTAGCTAGACTGCATAGTTGGCTTTTTCCAGTGACTACATCTAAATGAATAAAGTAATGTCTTTGAATAGTGCATCCGCAGTTTGATGGAATGTATACTCTTTTCGGCTTTACTGGTATCCCTCTTACACTTTGGATTGTCCCTTACTCTAGTCTTCTGTGCAACAGAGATATGATTTTTGGATCACTAAACAGAGTGAGTGAGTGAGGAGACAGTGTGGGAACAGTTTGGATTTCATTTTTGTACAGTTTTACAGTGTATTTTATACTGACCCAGGCAGAGATTTTCAAGGCATGTGGGACATAATGAAGGTAATTTCCCCTTACACTTTGACTATCCCAGAGCTGGGATATATACTCTTTTTGGTTTGATTCGTTCAGGTAATGAAACACAATGAAATTAAACTACTTAAGATTGATAATGAAAATAAATGGTAGGTTGTTTGGTTTTGTTTTTCAAATAATCCTGGAGTGGATGGTTTTAGAAAAGCCAAGCTTGCCAGCTGTGGTGGCACAGGCCTATAATTCCAGTGACTTGGGAGGCTTAGGCTGGAGGATCCCAAGTTTGAGGACAGCCAGGGCAACTTATCGAGACTCTGTCTCAAAAAAAATAAAAAAAGCCTAGAGATGTAGCCCTTTTTAAATGTGCTTCTGAGTTTAATCCCCATTACTGGGGGGTGGGGGAAAAGGAAAAAGAAAAGCCTAACGCAGCTTTTTTTGCATCTGACTTCATATTGTTGGTTGTAATCAGCTCTGACTTTGAGGAAGCAAGGCTGAGAGCTTTTAGAGGTAATGCACATAACTGGTAACTCAGAATGTTGCTCAGAGATTCAGCTTTCAGGATTTAATTCTTGAAGTTGGTAATCTAGGTATTCACTAAAGAGAGATGATGGAGACTAGAAATTGGACAGAACAGATTTTCATTGATAATCACTGCAAGAAAAAGCATAGATAGAATAGTTAGTAATACTTGCCTTTTTCTTTGGCCTATTTCTGCAGCAAAAAAGAAATTCCTGTTTTTAACTTTACCATCCATGAGATCCATTGTCAAAGGAACATTGGTATGTGTCCTATCTGCAAGGAACCACTTCCCAAATCTGACATGGAGATTCACATGGCTACAGAACACTGTCAGGTAAACTACCAATTACCCAAATGTTTATGAATGTGTTGTACTTGCTATTGTCCATAACTGTATCATACTTGCTAATTGCACAAATGTCAGTGGTCCTGTTGTCATTATGTCACTTTATTGATTTTTACTTCTTATCCTAGGTGACGTGCAAATGCAGTAAGAAATTGGAGAAGAGACAATTAAAGAAACATGAGGTTAGTCTTCTTGTACTATGAGGGGAGTGAGAGAACATGGGGCCAGTCCTACTGAGATTCAGAGCCACTTGCACAATGGAAACCAGTTTGATGATGTCTTTGTTCTCTACCAGCTTACATGTATACTGCCTCTTATAGCCTACTGGAAACTCTAGCTGTTGCCTGATTTGGCGGCCTGGCTGTTGTACTGTCTGGCTGCTAAGTCTTCAGAGTCTCTCCTTTTGGAACTGATACTTATCATTTCTGCTGGGGTTTGGTTATTGGCAGTCTTATTGAGTAAATTAAGCCTGGTGTTGCCAATGTAGGGTAATCTATTCAGCCTCCCTTACATGGTGTAATTTCATTATGACTTCTTGATCACTTGCATAATATGCTTTTTTTAAAAAAATAAAAATTTAATTATTGTTGATGGACCTTTATTTATTTATATGTGTTGTTGAGAATTGAACTCATTGCCTCACACATGCTAGGCAAGCGCTCTACCACTGAGCCACAACCCCAGCCCCAACATGCATGTTTTTTACATCTGAAGAAATTACTCATCATTTGGTGAGAGAACATGGTATCAAGGCTGGGCTCAGTGGCACATGCCTGTAATCCCAGCGGCTGGAGAGGTTGAGGTAGAAGAATCGCAAGTTCAAAGGCAGCCTCAGCAAAAGTGAGGTGCTAAGCAACTCAAGAGATCCTGTCTCTAAATAAAATATAAAATAGGGCTGGGAATTAGCTAAGTAAAATATAAAATAGGGCTGGGAATTAGCTTAGTTATCAAGTGCCCCTGAGTTTAACCCCCTGTACTAAAAAAAAAGAAAATTTGGGAAAAGGAGGGTATTACAAGAAAATAAGAACCACTCATGGGGATATAGCTCAGTTGGTAGAGTGCTTTCCTTGCATGCACAAAGCCCTGGGTTCGATCCCCAGCACCCAAAAACCCCCCAAACAAACAAAAACAACAACAAAAAAAATAAGAACCACTCATAACCTCGCAGTCTAGAGAACAACATTTCAAATACATTTGCACACTAATTTTATTATTTTTTTCCTAAGCATTTGATCTTTTATTAGACTTCAGCAGCCTTGGGGATATGATTGAGATCACATTAACAAACATAATGAAAACTTCTCTGGCTGTAGCATCTGCTTGCAGTGTAAAATAACCTCCAATAAACTGTTCTCTCTCCTAACTTCTCTCTTACCTATTTCTGGAAGTCCCTTGGTGATAGAACAATTATTGTAAAGATAGGAATACAGGATATTCCCTAATGTGTCTATAAGACTGACTATGACAATTTTAGGTCAGAGATTAACTATGTAGTGTTTTTTAAATTTCTTCTTTGTTGCCAAGCATGGTGGCACATACCTATAATCTCAGCAACCTGGGAGGCTGAGGCAGGAGGATTGCAAGTTCAAGCTAGCCTCAACAATTTAGTGGGTCCATCAGCCACTTAGCCAGACCGTGTCTCAAAAGGGTTGGTGATAGGTCTCCATAGTTAAGCACTTCTGGGTTCAATTCCCAGTACAAAACAAAAAACCAAAAAACTTTGGTTTTTCTTGAATGCATTTTACTTTATTTAAAATTCCTGGCACTTTTTAAGATTATTAACACAGTACTTATGTGGCACAGGTCAATGATTATTTGTCATTTGTAATTAAAACTTAATCTAGTATTTTTCTAGTGAGTGTTTTTTTTTTGGCTAGGGGTGGGATACCAGGAATCAGACTCTAAGACTTTTCTACTGAGCCACATCCCCAGACCTATTTTGTATTTTACTTAGAGACAGGGTCTCACTGAATTGATTAGCGCCTTGCATTTGCTGTGGCTGCCTTTGAACTCGTGATCCTCTTGCCACAGCCTCCTGAGCAGCCGGGATACCAGGTGTGTGCCACCGTGTCCAGCTCTAGTGAAATGTTTTATGTTTTTTTGGGAGGATAGTGGAAATTGAACTCAAGGACATTCAACCACTGGGCCACATCCTCAGCCCTATTTTGTATTTTATTTAGAGACAGGGTCTACTGGATTGCTTAGTGCCTCGCTGTTCTTAAGGCTGGCTTTGAACTCAGGATCCTCCTACCTGAGCCTCCCAAGCTATTGGGATTACAGGCGTGCACCACTGCACCTGGCTAATGAAATGTTTTTTTTTTTTTTAATTTTTTTTTATAGTTGAGCTTACTAGTGGATACTTGTAATCTCAGTTCTCAATGCTCAGGATGCTGAGGCAGGAGGATCTCAAGTTCAAGGCCAGCTTGGGAAATACTTTAGTGAGACCCCATTTCAAATTTTTAAAAATGTGAAAGACCTGAAGTCTCACCCTGAAGTTTGTGGGAGAGGGGAGGAGGAAAGGAGAAATGAAGTTTTTTGATTCTCCTAATGCATATGATGAGTCTTGGGGTCAAATGGAATTTGGATTGCATCCCAGCTCCTGAGAAGGGCCTGGGGAGTTTGTGGTAGAACACTTGCCTATCATGTCCAAGACACTGGGTTTAATGGTTCAATCCCCAGTACCACTCACATACACACACACACACAAAAAAAAAAAATTCTGAATGAGACATTATAGCTACATGAAAAACAATTTTTTTTTTTTTTTTTGGTGCTGGGGATTGAATCCAGGCACTTGAACAAACACATGGAATATAATTTTAAAGGCATGAAAGAATATATGTAAAAATTATCTCTAAAAACGTCTTGTGTAGAATCTAGAACATAACTTGAGTTTAATTTGGTTGAAAAGAAATTGTGCTCTTTGATATAGTGGTTGTAAAATATGTGAATTTTTTCTTTTGGGGGGGTACTGGAACTTGAATTCATGGCCTTGTGCCTTCTAGGCAAGTTAATTTTTATTTTATTTTTAGTTTTTTTTTTTTGTAATTGAAGATGGACAGCATGCCTTTATTTGTTTCATTTTTATGTGGTGCTAAGGATTGAACCCAGTGCCTCACACGTGCTAGGCAAGTAAGTGCTCTGCCACTGAGCTACAGGCCCATCTAGGCAAGTTCTTTACTCAGCTACATCCCCAGCTCCTATTGTATCATTGTAATGTTTTTATTGCTTTAGTGAGACTTTCCCATTAAATGTAAAGGTTTTATTTTTCAACTATTGAGTATGTTTATACTCTGGGGATCATTGATGATTCCTGGAGGATTTGGTCCAGGTAAAGCCAATGCAAATACAAATGTGAAGATTTAAAAATCAGTGTTTTTCTAAAGCACAGTCTTCCTCATTACTAAATACTTTAGACTGAATTGTAATAATAAGGGGAAATTGGTGGAGCTTTGGTAAAATATCTGAATTGCTTTGCTTCTTTTTCTTTGCTTTTGAACAATGAATGATTTTGTTTAACTTTGTTATGTGTGCACAGAATGATGCTATATTTGGGGTTGCTTAGTAGATTCCTTCTCAGAGGTTCTTTCCTTTTGTAGAACCTGTGGCAGGAATAAAAGGGGAAACTGTGATAATCAAATACATAGAAAGCATAGTAGGCAAAGCTAGGGTGGGAAGAAAAAAATTATTTTTCTTTGTTGTGCTGGGGATTGAACCTAGGACCTTATGCATGCTGAGCTACTTCTATCCAGTCCAGAAGAGAATATCAAAGTATATATTTTTGCTTTCTTTGCCCTGTAATAAAACAGCCTCTCCTAGATGTGCATATTAACTGCCTTATTACTCTATTGCAGGAGACTGAATGCCCTCTGCGGCTTGCTGTCTGCCAGCACTGTGATTTGGAACTCTCTGTTCTCAAACTGAAGGAACATGAAGATTACTGTGGTGCCCGGACAGAGCTGTGTGGCAACTGTGGACGCAATGTCCTTGTGAAAGACCTGAAGTCTCACCCTGAAGTTTGTGGGAGAGGGGAGGAGGAAAGGAGAAATGAAGTTACTGTATCTCCTAATGCATATGATGAATCCTGGGGTCAAGATGGAATCTGGATTGCATCCCAGCTCCTGAGACAGATTGAAGCTCTGGACCCACCAATGAGGCTACCCCGAAGGCCTCTGAGAGCCTTTGAATCAGACCTTTTCCACAATAGGACTGCCAACCAAAGGAATATGACAGCCCCCTTTCCAATTCAGAATAATCTATGTGAGTTGTGCTTGGAATTAGAAAACTGGAACATTATGAAAATTCCAGAGCAAATGGGAACAGGGCTTTGGGGCCAAATAGATCTTGATTAGAGAAATCTGATTATAGTTGGTTAACACTGGGAAAAATACCTAACTTTCCTATAAAAGGTCAAGTTAGGTGGTTACATGCCTGTAATCCTAGCTATTTGGGAGGCTGAGGCAAAAAGTTCATAAGTTCAAGACCAAACTTGGTACCTTAATGAGACCCTCTCAATTAAAAATTAGAAAATAGGGCTGGATATGTAGCTCAGTTGTAGAGCACCCCTGCATTTGATTCCTTGTCCCGTCTTCCCCCACCCAGCCAATAAATAAATAAATAATAGAAGCTCTTCCTTACTGGTTTGCAGTTAGAGTTGATGATGGTGATGATAATGTCAATGCTGTAAGTAGCTAACATACCTCAAACTTTTTTTTGTGTGGTGCAGGGAATTGAACCCAGAGCCTTGCACATGAGAGGCAAAGCACTCTACCAACTGAGCTATATCCCCAGCCCAAGCAGAGTGTTTTGCATATATTCATTTAATTCTCATTAAAGGAATGAGGGTAGGTAAATTGTATAGCTGAGATTTAAATTCAGGCAGTCTGACCCCTACTTTAAATCATACTGCTGTAATACAAAAAATGTTTAGTACAGTGCCTGTCATAGTTATGACACAGTAACATTTCTTTTAATAATACTTTTTTTTAGAATAATAATGGATCCTTGTTTCATGTCAGACTTACAGTTCAGAGACCCATGAGGGCCAGGAGTACTGGTGGAGTTGGCCAAATGGCTTTAAACTTTGGCCCTTTGCTAGGTAGGGACTTGAGAGTAGGGATGGCAACATCTCTAATTTGTCTTGAGTTCTAGCTGTTTTTTTTTTTTTTTTCTAGTTGAAGAACAAGAAAGGCAGGAAAGGAATAGAAGCCGTCAGCCTCCCAAAGAGGGTGGTGAAGATAGTGCAAACCTGGACTTCATGTTGGCCCTAAGTCTGCAAAATGAGGGCCAGGCCTCCACTGTGGCAGAACAGGACTTCTGGAGGGCCGTTTGTGAGGCAGATCAGTCGCATGGTGGGCCCAGTTCTCTGAGTGACATGAAGGGTAGGTTTGCTTATTCTGCACTGTACTCAAAGCTGGGATTACAGGCGTGCACCACAGCACCCTGCACAATAGCTCCCTTTTTAATATATCTTTAAATATGTTAAATAGATTTTTTTCCTTCTGTTTGAAAATATTAATACTAAGGTATATTTTTTGCTATTTGTTCCTGTTGGCTCTTTTTATTTTATTTTTTTTAATATTTATTTTTTAGTTGTAGTTGTACAGAATACCTTTTTTTATTTATTTACTTTTATGTGGTGCTGAGGATTGAACCCAGGGCCCTGCACATGCTAAGCAAGTGCTCCATCGCTGAGCTATAACCCCAGCCTCCTCCCACCCCCCACCCCCGTTGGCTTTTATGTATGTATGTGGGGATTAAACTCAAGGGTGCTCTGTCACTGAGCTGTATCCCAGACTGAAGTCAGACTTTTAAATAAAATGTCACAAGGGGAATAAAACGTTGAAATCAAGTTTGTTTTTGTTCCTTTTGAGTCTGACCATGTGGCCTGATACCTAGGTGCAGCTGATGAGACCATGTTGCCTTGTGAATTTTGTGAGGAGCTCTACCCAGAGGATCTGCTGATTGACCATCAGGTATGTTGGGAACTACTTGAGAACTGTGAGGGGAAATGTGAGCCCCATGAAGTCTTGAGAAAACTTTCAATACAGTGCCTATTGTAAGAGTGGCAACTTTTTTTTGTACTGTGGAATGACTAATGTAGGTTAGAAACCGTAATCCTCATTCCAGCAGATCCAATAGTCTCATCCCAACCAGCACACTCTCCATATGGTGGTGACTGGTATATATATTTCTGTTGACCATTTTTTGATCCAGTTTCATTTTGTGCTATATTTTGATTTATTGGAGCTTTATTGAAGTCCTTTCAGTTCCATCAAAGGCTTGATGATCCTTTCTGCCTATTACTTTCTCTTCCTTGAAGGCATGTGCCCTTATGCCCTTACCTCCTCAGTATACCCAACAATGTAGACTGTATTTGCAGATTTGGTTCAGCCATGACTGTTAGGAAACTAGCCTGATGGACACTCTGAAGACTAGGTCAGGAGTTATATGTGTGTGTGCCCTGAGAATCTGTGCCTACTTTTCTTTTCTTTTTTTTTTTTTTTTTTAATGTTGTTCTTTTTTAGATGTTGGGTGAGCCTTTATTTTGTTCACTTATTTCTGTGTGGTGCTGAGAATCGAACCCAATGCCTCACACATGGCTAGGCAAGCACTCTACCACTGAGCCACAACCCCAGCTCCCTTGTTGCCTACTTTTCTAATAGCCTATCATCCTGTGATATGATCCTTTTGATTCCTGGTTGGTGGTACCACTTTGCCAAGTTCCTTTAGGCACCTTCTGAGTTCTCCTAGTTTCTAAGAATCTCTCAAAACTTTGTGTATGAAAGAACTCAGATATTTTTTGAATGATTGATGGTTTTTGAGCCATTTAGGAATGATTAGAGAGCAGTACTATGTGTTTGAGGATTACTGATTTCCTTCAACACTTCCTTCGTCTGATTTGGTGTGCCTTGGTCTGGCATTTTCAAGACTGCTAAATAGTCCCTGTGTTCTGGTTGACAGAGCATGCCTTCCTCCTAAGTGGAGAGAACAGTATTTGAATACTTATGGGTTTTGGTTTGGGAGCAGTGAAAGACAATTTATTGATGAGGATGCTAAGGAATATTTGGGTTGTACTTTTACTATATGGCAATGGGAAGAATCTTGAATCTTTTAATTTAAAAAGAATAATCACATGAACACAGCAGGAAAAAACAACAGAAATATTTAAAAGTAAAGTGAATGTTCCACCTGCATTCCCCTATTATTTTTATTAGTCCTTCTCCTCACTATAAAGTGCTATCAAAATGTTGTGACTTCTTGTAGAAAATGTTTTAGGAATGTAGTTTTTTCCCTTAGACTCTGATTTTTTTATTTTAACCTATGTTTTTTAAATGACAGACAAGCTGTAACCCTTCGCGTGCCTTACCTTCGCTCAATACTGGAAGCTCTTCTTCCAGGGGGGTGGAAGATCCTGATGTCATCTTCCAGAACTTTCTGCAGCAGGCTACAAGTAACCAGTTAGACTCTTTGATGGGTCTGAGCAATTCACCCCCTGTGGAAGATAGTGTCATCATCCCATGTGAATTCTGTGGGGTACAGTTGGAAGAAGAGGTGCTGTTCCATCACCAGGTAAGAATCCCTGACGGACTCATCTCCCTGACTCCATGCTGATTCTCTGTACACAAATGTGAGGCTTCCAGAACTGAAAATCTACTTCAGCCTTTGGATTGCATTCCAGCTTGAATAGAAATCCACACCTGTGGCTTCTGGCCATGCCCTGCACCATGAACTGACTATGTGAGGTATACGGTACCTGTAGCCTTGAGACTTTCTCCACCTTATAGCAACTGAAACCATCATATCACTTGTTGAGGACTCAGGGTCATGGGGCCTTACCATGACCAGGCAGATCCTTCCCATTGTGGTGTCATTTGGGACTTGTATTCTAGGTTAGTTGGGGTCTAGTAAGAAAGTCTTATGATTTGGGATGAAGAGGTAGATGGTTACTGCTGGTTGTCTATTAAATAAGCCCCCATATAAATACTGGGAGCAAAGTATAGAAATGGTTTTCTGGCCTCCCAAGACCAGCTCTTCCTTTACTCCTGCACAGATCAGAGAGTGCCACAGTGCTAATATGAATCAATGCTACATTCCAGGTGTGTGTTTCCTGTACCTAGCACTTTCTTAGTGGTTGTCAAAGAACCCCCTCCAGATGGGGTCTGATCACCTAACCAGCTGTTCTTCCCTTTCTTCTCATCACACTCAGTTCTGAGGTACTAATTCTGCCTTTTATTGTTTAGGACCAATGTGACCAACGCCCAGCCATGGCAAACAACCATGTGATTGAGGGGATTCCTAAACAGCCATCCCAACTTCAAGAGACCTCACCAGAGCTGCCCAGGAGGCGTGTCAGACACCAGGGTATTAGCCAGGACATGGCCCAGGCCACAGGCCCACTGCTGGCTTGGGCCTGATTATCATTCTATGGCGCCAATAGGGTTACCTGATCTTGAGTTACTAAGTCCAGTAGGGTCTCCTAGGAAATTTCACAGCTGGCTGTAGTTCCACATTAGATTACGCTATCCTAAGTATAGACTGATAGGGTAATGGCTTTAAGGACACACTTATAAGCTCATAATAATAGAGTACAGAGATAGGAAATCTACAGGTTATAAGCTCTGACACACTTAGAGTCAGAGCTTATAACCTGTAGATTTCCTATCTCTGTACTCTATTATTATGATCCTTATGACTAGGCAAGTAAACTTATTGAAACTTATCACTTCACAATTAAAAAATAATTAGAAGGGCTCATGCTTGTAATCCCAGTGACATGGGAAGTTGAGACAGGAGGATTGTAAGTTCAAGGTCAGCCTCAGCAACTTAGGCCCCCAGCAACTCAGACCTTGTGTCAAAATAAAAATAAAAAGGAGGCTAGGGCTGTGGCTCACTGCTAGAGTACTTGCATAGCATCTGTGAGGCACAGTGTTTGATTCTCAGCACTGCGCATAAGTAAGTACAATAAAGATCCATTGACAACTAAAAAAAAATTTTAAAAAAGGATGGGGGATTAGAGACATGGCTCAGTGGTTAAGCAGCCCTGGGTTTAATCCTTGGTTCCAAAAAAACCAAAAACCAAAAACATTCAAGGTTTGCTTGCATAACTGTTCATGTTGATGAATGGTTAGCAGGCTGTATTTGAGTCAGGTAATTAATGTGCAGAGTAGACAAAGTAAGTGTTCTTGATTCTCTCTTGGGGTCATGGGCCCCAGTAGCCTTTGCGGGTGATCAGTTATCTTCTCTGCAGTCTTTTTGTTCTTGCCCTGAATCCATCAATAATGATAAGAGCAGGCTTTTTCCTAAAGGTGTAACTATGTTCTCTTCCTAGGAGAATTGTCTTCTGGCTATATGGATGATATCAAGCAGGAAATAGCTAAAGGACCCATCTACCCTCTGCCCCCCAGCAGACCCATTAATAATATTACAACTACCTGTAACCGACTATCAAAATCAACATCAGGCTCTACAACTGGGTGCCAGCCCAACCCTCCTCGAGTGCTGAAACTCAACAACTCAGACAGCCAGGACATCCGAGGGCGAAATAGAAGCAGCCAGAATGGGGCCATGGACACTGATGCATGCTCAGTTCGAAATCTCCACCCAGAATACCTTGTGTCCTCTTTCCCCGTTGGGCCTGCTGCGAGATATGGAGCCAGGTAAGAATCTAGCGTGGGAATGGAATTTGGAAGTAGCTGAAGAGGATTTGGACAAAAGGTCTAGTCACATTCTGGTCCAGCCTGGGTAAGACTACAGTTCATGCAAAGGAGGGAAGAGTTTATCTTTTTTGGGGTGTGTGCAGCTAATTTAATCCAGGACCTCATGCATGCTAAGCATGTACTCTACCACTGAATTATGTCCTCAGTGTCATGGGGAAGAGTTTCGGTTTTGCCCACATTGTCATCTGATTCCATATCCATGCTTTTTTTGTGGTAATGGAGATTGAACCCAGAGGCTCTCTACCACTGAACTATATCCTAGCCCTTTTTTATTTTGAAACAGTCTCACTAAATTGCACAGGCTGTCCTTGAATTTGCGATCCTCCTGCCTTAGCCTCTTGAGTCACAGGGATTGCAGGTGTGTACCACTATGTCCTATGTCCAGGAGGTTTTTTTGTTGGTCTGCTAGTGGAAGGCTGCTTTTTTTGCTCAGCTACCAGCTGTTTTATTCACTCTTAGTTTTTGGACCTTTACTCAGGAGCATATCAGGAACTGGTTTCTAATCCTATTTTTTCAGTGGTAGGAGTGAAGGTGGCAGAAGTTCCCGGGTCACCCCTGCAGCTACCAACTACCGCAACAGAACTGCAAAGGTAACTAAGGGTCCAGCACATAATACTCAGGGAGGACACACACAGGTGGGAATGGTGAGGCTTTTGAAATCAGAAGTTGCTGCGAGTTGGCTGGCTGTATAGAGGTTGGAGCCTCTTCATGAAAAGCCAAAGAATGAAGGGCTGGCTGTTCTTTGGCTTTTGTTGAGGAGGCTTCTGTGGGAGCTGGGCATCCTCAGGGGTCCCGGGGAGGAGGAATGCTCTTTCACTTCCTGTGTGAAACTTCTTCATTTGTGTTGTTCAATAGGCAAAGCCCCCGAAGCAGCAGGGAGCTGGGGATGCAGAGGAGGAAGAGGAGGAGGAGTAGTGGTGTCTGCAGAAACCCTCGCCTTGGTCCCTACCTATGCATAGCAGCCCTTGCCTTGGTGCAGGCCCTGCCTCTCTGGCTCTTTAGGCAGGGGAAGATTATTCTTTTTCTAGGTTATGGCCATTTTGTGTCTTTTGAGATTGTGCTGTGGGAGTTTGGGGGTTTGAGGGAGGGTTAGCAGGGAGGCTGTTGGGAATTGTTTCAGCCTTAGCTGCCACTTCTTGGTAGCATTGAAATACAGATAATGGCCTCTTAGCCCACCAGGACTCCACCTTTTGAAATACCATCACCACTGCCTCTTGGTGCTTTGTGGTCCTGGTGGAAGGAGTAGAGGGTTCTGAAAATCTGGTTCCCATCAGTGAAATGATTTTCTTACCTGTGGGGTCCTAATTTGGGGGCTTTTGGGCAACTTCTCCCATGTACTGCCCCTGCTTGCTCCAGACTCTGGGCCTCTGGTGTGTGTATGGAGCAGCTCTGGTGAAGTGCTCAGGCCAGCTGCTGGATGTTAGGAACAAGGCCTTTGGAAAAGTTAGCTGGAGGTGTGTGGAGCAGGGGCTATTTCTTTTGTCATTTGGCATCACTGCCTTCTGCTCCTTGTGGGTATGGTGACTCCTTTGTCCTCACTGCCCTCTAATGGGGAGGGCTAAGGGCTTCCTGTTCCCACTAGGGCCACACTGGGCTCTGCCCTGATGAGGATTAAAGCCCCAGTCTCACACTTGCTCTGAAAACCAAGTGTCAGAGCCCCTTTCCCTTCTTATGTTACTATTATAATTATTATCAGCTTTCTTGTAATAGAAATAAAGTTTGTACTTGGAGCTCAGCTAAGTCTTGTGGTTCATATTCCTATGCTTTCTGTAGAGAATGGAGCTCCAGTGTGGGCTCCTTCTCAGAGTGCTTCAGACATTGAAGGTGTAGTATTCTCATCTCCATTTTTGAGGAAACTGAGGCTTGCTGTACCTCCGGCAATGACAGGAATAAGGGGCTACCTCCAACTGAAGAGAAAAAGGCAGATTCTTCAAAAGCTCCAGTCCTGAGAAGTTGAGACTTACGATTATTCATCCCCCTCATAACATCATGGTTCACACAGGATTGTTAGCATCATAGGTCTTTTATTTTATTTTTGGTGCTAGGGATTGAATCCATGACCTTGTGCATGCTAGGCAAGCACTCTACCAAATGAGCTGTATCCCCAGCCCTACCATAGGTAGTTTTGAGCTCAGTTGTTCTCCCAGTAACCTACTGGTGGTGGTGGTAAAGAATTGCCCCATATCATGGGTGTGACATTTCATGGGTGTGACATATGTAACAATATTAATTTATATAAGACTGTGTAGCTAATTCTTGGCATAGCCATTACTCTGAAAAGAATTATCCTAAGAGGAAGAAGCCAGACCAAGGGATATAATGAGGGCTAGTTTTCCTCCCTTTTCCTTTTTTTTCCTTCCTTCTCTATCTCCTTCCTTCCTTCCTTTCCTCCCTCCCTTCTTTGTACTAGATACTGAACCCACTGAGCTACACCCCTGGTTGGTTTGTTTTGTTTTTCTCTTTCATTTTGAGACAGGGTCTTGCTAATTTGTCAAGGCTGCCTCAGCCTCCCAAGCAGCTGTAATTCCAGGCGGGTATCACCACATCTGGCTTTATGATTGTTTTTTGTTTGTTTATTTTTAATATTGAATCTTGTAACCTTTAACTGTGCTAAACTGTAGTAACATTTTTGGTAGATTCTATTAGCTTTTCTGTGTATGTCATCATGTCATCTGCAAATAAAGATGATTTTACCTATGCCTTTTCAATCTGGAAACCTTGTATTTTTTTTTCTTTCCTGAAAATCCAGTAACAATGTTGAATAGAAGGGGTGATAGTCTTGTTCCTACTTGTAGTATTTCATGAATAAGTATGCTATCTTTTATCAGTTTCAATAGTTAAAGGGCTGTTTAATTCATTATTTATTTTGATTTATAAAAGTGCTTTTATCTTCCTAGGAATTTGTTTATTTCATTAAGTTATTTATCAAAAGTGTTTATTGTTTTTAAAAAAATCTGTAATATCACCTCTCTCATTCCTTGTGTTGATCATTTGTCTTTTTTCCCTCCATCTGTTTGACTTTAGCAGGGACTGCCAAACTTTTTCTTAAAGACCAAGTAGTAAATATTTAAGACTTTGCAAATCATGGTCTCTGCTGCAGCTGTTCATCAATGCTGTTACAGAAGGAAAGCAGCCATAGACAGTATCCAAATGAATGGGTGATGTGTTCACAACAGAACTATTTACAAAACCATCTGGATTAGTATGGCAATCCCTGATATAGAGCTTTATAAGTGTTACTGATTCCGCTTTGAGGAGCTTGGGGTATAGTTTAGTGGTAGAGCACTTGCTTAGCATGCTCAAGGCCCTGTGTTCAGTCCTCAGCACCACATGCCCACACAAGTTTGCTTTGATAATATTGATTTCTTCTATTTTAATGTTTCCATTTTATTAATTTCCATTCTGATCTTAATCATTTCCTTTTGGGGTGGGGACCATGAGTTGAACTCAGGGGCACTCAACCACTGAGACACGTCCCCTGCCCTATTTTGTATTTTATTTAGAGATAGGGTCTTACTGAAGAATTGTTTCAGCCTTAGCACCTTGCTGTTGCTGAGACTGGCTTTGAACTTATGATCCTCCTGTCTTAGCCTCTCGGCTGTTGGAATTATAGGCGTGTGCCACTGTGCCTGGCTAATCATTTCCTTTCTTGATCTTAATTTTTTCTAGTTTCTTAAAGTCAAAATTGACTTGTTTTGACTGATTTGAGATATTTTATTATGTGTTCATTGGTATAAATTTCCATGTAAGTGCTACATTAGATGCATCTCACAAACCTTGATGTGCTTTTTAATTTTCATTGCATTACAAATATTTTATAATTTTTCCTTTTGTTTCTTCTTTGAGCAGTGGGTAGTTATTAGTGTGAAATTTATTTTTCAAATATTTGGTTATTTTCCACGTTTGTGCTGTTAGTTTTCTTTCTCTTTTCTTTTTTAATTTGCTATGGGTCCAATTTAACAGTCTGTGCCTTTTCATT